GCTATCTCAGCGTAACCGCAGGTGAATAACAGGTGAATAAAAGGAAGTCTCGTCCCTCCCCCGTTGCGTGACTGCCTTCGGTTTTTCCAGCACTGGAGGCGCTTGTGTATCTTGTTTGTCTGTTTGAAAGAAGGTATTTTATCTTACCCCTGTCCAGCGTGTAATGCAAGGAAAATTCTTCTAGAACGCAACCCCATTTAACATGCTTTTAAAAAAGACTTTACTAGATGACTTTGGCATCTAACCTGCTTTTCCAGTGTTCAGATCATTCCAACTAACAGGTCAAGGGAGTGACAGACAGCAATAATGCTGTAGTCTGGAAGCCCAGCTGCAGCAAGCTTTCTGTTGGCCTGGAGCATTTTGAACTTTAGTGAAGGATTATTGCAAAAGATGATGGATATCTGGGCAAAGTCAAATCTATGCTTCTACAGTGGAAGTGGAGGGTGAAGGCAGAGGCCAGGGTTTATGAATAATTTGCCACAAAGTGTCCGCTTAAAGAAAGGAGTGAGAGAACCTTGGTGTGGAGTGTCAGGACCTCCTGTATGAGCCTACGTGCACATCCTGGCTAAGTATCACTTAATAGCAAAAGAGGGGTAACTGCCAGTGACAAAAACATGCCTTGTGCAGCAATGAACAAAATAATGACCCCTAGGTTTTGGAGTCGTCCCAAACCGCTTCGTGGTTTGAACCAAATGTGGTATTTGGTACCATGTTTGGAAAAATGGGGCCAGTTTCAACAGTTTAGATGATGAGACAGAATTTCTTAGATATAGTTTAATTATTTTTTTTCCCTTTCTCCAGATGTATCATGGAACCAAACTCACAGAACCTGCAGCTGGCCTGAGGACAGTTGATGTAAGTGTAGTTTTGCACAGGTTCTAGAAAACAGTATCAGTTACTTCCCCAATTTCAAAACTGAGATTATTTGTTGAATTATTAGCTTTACCTAATTCAGTAAATAATTGCCTTAGACACCTGTGGTCTAGAAATTCTAATGGGCATTATGTAAGGCAGTGATGTGATGTATATAGTATTTCCCATATGCACAGCTGTCAGTTTGCCTGTTCTAAGTACCAAAGTGAACATGCTGGGGAGAAACATGGGGAAAAAAGGCTTGGGGAATGTAAACAAGATCCTAGATGGGACAGCTGCTTTCTCAGTGCAAGGAAGACATTTATCCCATCTGTATGTGTACTTTGCTCCTGAAATTTGTTTCTAAGCTATGTTTAGGTTGCACAAGAGAGCTCGTTCACCTGAACAATTTCAAAGCATCTGAGGAAAGGTACTTTCCAAGAAACCCTTGGAATAGGACAGTAATAATCTTCGCGGTGCATCTTCTGCTCTTCCAAGCAGTTTTTTCCCTCCAGGTCACCTCTGCTAGATGATATCCTTGCAGTATTGTATGGAGGCATGGCAAGTTCTTATAGTCTTGGGATTTTCTTTTTCTGAAGCAATATCTTTATATTGATTCTCTACTCTGATTTTGGTACGCAGATAGCCTCTTCTGTACAGCCACTGCTTGTGGAATAGGAAAAAAGCATATTTTACATATTGTATAGTATTGTAAACAGTCATTTCTACTTCAAGGTTCTAGCCGCTCTGTATATGTTGTGCCTTGTAATGGTGTGGTGGAAGAAATCCTTAAATTCTTAATCCCAAAGGAAATTCAGAAAACATGATGACTCTACATGAGACCCCATTTAGGGCTATAGTTATTTCCAGTTATGTGCATTTTTGAGTAATTTTTCAAACATTATGGTGATGTGATTCAGAAATGCAGTGGTGTTTTTCCCAAAGGTATTTTTTAGGAAGTTGAGAAGAAACTGTAACTCTTCAATCACATTTTTACCATCCGTAATTCTTAAGAGTCAACAATTGCTAATTCTAACCTGAGACTTGAAAAATGTGTTTTCAGTGTTCTCAGCTATTCTCTTAAAACCAGCAGTGTATTCCATCTCTGAACAGTGCCAAAATCTAAAAAAAAAAACCCCAAACCAAACCCACACCCCAAAACAGCATGTGAAATGACAGCAAATTGTTCCTGTATTTCATTTTATGCTGGCCAATGGCTGAAGTCACATGCATGGACAGACAGAGAGTAGGTTCTAGGAGCAATACACTGCTTGAAAATGCTGTCATACACATTAATGAATATCAGCCACATGGAAAACTATTTTTTGAAAAATTACCGTTGTTGATAACTTTATCTGACGGTAAATGTGTTTTCAAGGAAAGCCCGATACTGAGTAAGGGGAGAAATTGTTTTGGATTCATTTGTCAACATTCTGTAAATTTAGTCACAGGTTCATCAATATGAAACTTCTTTGGAAGAAGTTTGTCACTTAGCATTAACATCTTGAACTTGTTCAGTGCAAGAAACTTGAAACTTTTGAAGGTTTCTGTGGTCAACGATGTGGCCATAGGACCACACATCATCAACTCTGTGGTACGTAGATCTTCATATGTAGGATCTTATCTCGAGTTCAGAAAAGCACAGCAAACCCAAGGAATCTGAAGTGCTTGTGCCTCTACTACCTGAAATATCTTCCTTGCCTAGGTTCAGAGTGATTTTTAAAAACTCTCTCCTTTGGAAAGTAAGAAATGCAAATGACCAGCTAAACACTTAGCTGAAAATCTGAAAAACCTCCATAATAGTTATCAGTTCATCACCAAGTTGATCACACTGTGTACTGGCCAACCCAACTTTTTTGTTACTTGGCATGCCATTTTTTCCTGTGCTTTGGTATTATTCTGTATGCATTCTCTTAAGAGCAAGTGGTAATCCACATGATCAACATGGTAAACATTTGCTTTATTCTCTGCCAAGCAGATGAGCTGTGATTATGATTGCAAACTTTACAATTTCTGTGAAGCTTGGTTTCTAACTTGTCTGATATGAATAGTATGCAGTACAGGCAAGGTACATATATCCAGAAAACTTCATGAAAATGAATCGTGTCATTAGTGATGGTTTAGATAAATAGTTAATGTTTCAGTTATGTAACAGAATATAGGTGCTAACATCTCACCATGCAGAAAGTTGCTTTTTTTTCTGTCGTATGTTCATGATGAAATAACTTAACCCTTAAAGACACATGAAAATGGAATTAAATAAAACATAATTAACAGCGTGCTGTCTGCAAAGCTGCTTTTTTTTTTTCCATGAGAGAAATGTTAGCCTACACAAAATAATATTTTGTTGGTAAAGTCCAAGACTTGAGAACTTGTTTTCATACTAAACAGGGATGAAAAACTTAATATTGATATTCTTATGTGCAACTGTAACTTCCAAAATACTTCACTTTAAACTGTGGGCTTGAATCATTGGCTTTGACTTTGTTTAATGATGATACATGTGTCAATGAATACAGAAGTGACTCTGTTTAAAAGTGAGTGTAAAACAACTGTCTTACAGTAAGGATACTACAGTACAAGGACCGTCTACAGGGTAACCAGCAGACACTTGATCACTGACATAAAAAGATTAATAGCCTGGAGATATGACAGTAGATTACAATGTAAGAGGAGGATGATGTCTGTGAGAAGTTACATAATGTAAGATTCTTGTGGTATGCTTTTTGTAGAACCTTAAACTGTCTGCAACCCTCTAAAGTTGTTTATATTTGAAATGGTGAAGGAATGGCACAAGGAGGAGTTCAGGTGTTTGGCAGTGATGGCCATGGCTTAAAGAAGACAGACTTAAAGTGCTGTCATAAGGCAGACTGGTGTTTCTGTTCATTTCCAGAATTCCCCTGTCGATATCAAAGAATGAAGAGTTATTCATCAGTGTGAAGACTCTCAAAACAGTTTTCATAAGTCTAGGTGCCACATCTCTTTAGTGCCTTTTTGTACCTGCTTCAATTTTAATAAGCCGTATCAAGTCAGAAGTTCCTGCTTTTTTAGCTCTTCTGTTAAGGGATAAAAAGAATCGTCACAAGGTGACCTGTTACCTACTTGCCTAATTGCACAATTTTTAGGTTGTGGTTCAGATAAATGCAGTGGACAGTGGAGAAGAAACATTCTGCTTGCTTCTCCAAGGGGAAAAATAATACTATGTCATTGTTTGCTGATGGTACTACACCTGGTGAAGCACCTGGTAGAAATTTAGATTGTGACTGCAAGGCTCATAGTCTCAGTGGTTCACCTGTACACAGCTTGTGGAAGGAATAGGGTTTTCCCTTGGAAAGCAGCATTAATAAAGAAGGACAAACAGAACTCATTTGGAGGAATCGACCTGAAGTGGTGGTTAATAAAATCTGTAAGGAAAGGATTTTTATAGATACAGATATATGCTCAGATTCTTTAGTATGACTTTTATGAAGTATATGGAAGTAGTAAGGTTTGTTAACCTAATCAGATAGATATCTGAGATCAGGCTTGTACATGCTACAAAAAAGTCTTGTGTGTTATACTCCTTTGCTTGGGTGGGCTGAGACTTTTGCTTTTAGCTTCTTGGTCATGAATGGTTTGATAGCATTCTTTTTCTTTTTTTTTTTTTTTTTTTAAGTTAGAATCTGTACAGTCTTTTACAGCCCAGCCTATAGGGATTTTGAAGGACTCCATCTCTAAGGTATAAGACTACATTTAATCTATCAGGGCATTGTTGTCTTTAGCATTCTGCTGCTTTTGTATTTCATATTGTTTCAATTTTCAGAAGAGAGCCTTGTTTCCTGCTCATTCATTTGAAGGCATAGTGTGCATTGTGTTCTGGTTTCTCCGATGTTGGCTAACTGCTTTGTAGGTATTACTAGCTCACAGCTAACT